AAAGAAACATTTTAAAATAGACATTTACCTTAGACTCAGGCATTCCCGATAAAATTGGTTGCATTCTGGCATTTACGCTATCAGCGAGCTGAATAAATACAATAATTATTAATGCTTGATGGAATTAAGGATGATCAATACCGTATAATACTAAAATATGAACAAGCCATCATTATAACCAAAAAGGTACCTTTAACATTGTTAGTAACTTTTTATCTGAAACTGATACTGCTAATTTTGATAAAGTGCCCGATATTTCCACTCTGTAACATCCGATAATGATTAAATAATCAATCAAATGCAGCAATTAATCGGCTAGTTATTGTTATGTAGTCAATAGGGTCGCATTTATACTTTGTTGCTTACTCTGGTATATCAGCAGATTCTTCCTGAAGCGACTTCTCTATAGTTAATGCTATATTTGAGGGAAATAGTATATGCAACTTTGTTGCCAATGAAGCTTTACGGATATTGTTCCAGTCATCCTCTTCAAAAGAAATAACAGTATTAACCGCAAGATCTCGTAGGACAATCGAATATAATCACCTTTATTCGCCAACAAAATCTGAATATTCTGCATGCCAACTGAGAATCTGTCGCAGTTCTTGTCAGGCTTTGAAATTAATGGGATAAAAATATTGTAAGGATACGAACGATTATACAATTAAAAAAGAGACCTATGAAGAGTCTACCTGATGTACAAGTGATAAATCACTCTTTACTTGTAGTGAGCCAAGGTCAGCGATCAAGAGATTGTTAGTAGGACTGAATTCCAAAATTAAATATGTGACTAAATGAGTCATAATTAATCTACGAAATATAAAATTAGATTACTTACCTTCTAAGATCAACATTGGAAGGTACAACAACATAAGTTGAAGATATCTTTACATCAATATCTAAAATCTGAATATTGTAAAGTGATACATAATAATTGTAAGTATTAAGATGTAATTGTTTAGATAAATTTCATTATTAATGAATAGCTATCTCAAGGTGGCTGGCGGTATGCAATAAAATATATTGCAAATAGACGTTACCGCTTTATCTTTTACAGCAGCAGTAATACTCTTTTTGGTATTATCTTTGAGTTTTTGGATAGCATAGCTAGCTGCGTGCGATAACCTGCAGTAGAAGATTAAGATATAGATAAATGATCACTCATAACCTATTGGCTGATATGAATTTATAATAACCGTTAACAAATAGTGCTATCGTATATCGCAGGTGCACTATTTAAAAAATATGTATATCTATTACAAATACGAACTGTTCAATTTCTACATCTCGTGGTCTAACGAAGAATTCTTTTACGGCAAGGGCAGATATCTTCAGAAAGTAATAAAGTTTATCAGCAAAGAAATCATCTAACTATTAGCAGATTTTTAGATAAGAAAACACCAGTTTTATTTCATTTAATCTTACAGTATCGAACCAGATTTCAACGGAAGGCGCTTGAATGGTAATCTTCTGGTCTGCAACACTCTCTAATGGATACTTTTCAAATAAGACACTAAAACATCCACCTAGAATTCAAAAATAAATTTCAGATTAAAGCTATCAAAATCTAGCTTCAAGACTGCAATTACCTGTAGATGAATCGGTAACAGGCTGAGGTTGGATAATACAGGGCTCAAAACCGTTTCGTTCGGATCCCAGAACGTTAAAATGTTGAAGGCTAGCGCATACACTAACGAAACCAATATGTTTACGAAACATTAGATGAAAATATTTGCACGTATTAAAAGTGTTTTCAAACTACTTGTAGATAGGCTTGGCTTCCAAATGGTTTACCTAATTCCATTTTTAACAGGTCTCCTAGCCACATCAGCAGCTATATCGGTCACGGCTACTTTAAGAATATTTCTGTAAATGCAGTAATAGGAAGCAATCAAGCTTTTAAATGGGCCAAATTTTTTAAAAGTTTTACTTAGCTCCTGACGAGAAGGGTTAGCAGAACAGTATCCTATTTATTTATCGATATGATCATTTTGTCCTACCTTTTTCCGTCTTTTAAGTCCATTTTATAATTTTCGAGGCTTAGAGTCAATTTAAAGTCAATATACTGTAAAGGTTTTAAATAAGAAACGATTCCATTCAATGATTAATAGCGTCGCACATTGTCATCTGGCTGCGTATTACTCGTTAGTAAGATAATACAGTAGTAATCTCAGTATCAACAAACTAATTAATCGGTGTCGATATCTACCTCTTTCGATGTAGGATCCGTGGATTCACTAGAGTTGAAATCAATCGCTCGGCGTAATTCCTGTAATTCTTGATCTGATAATCCTATAATTATATTTTGAGCCGTGAAAGCAGTTGAATGACATCAGAAAAGAATATCTCATAAAATTTCTAGAGTATCTACACTGCTAACCTAGTGAATTCGTCTTCTTCTCTTTATTATCTTTGCTTGAAGAACCAAATATGCTCGAAAACCAACCAGAATTCTTTTGCTTACTACTTCCACGCGATATATTCATCTAATTAGACAGTTATGACATTACACTTAATCATGGTCGATAACTATAAAAAATGTATCCTAACTTTACAATAATATTCAACGCAATATTGTAGGATTTGTTACCTTTCTTTCCATTTTTCTTCTAATAATTGCAATACAGCCCATATCGAGGATATCCTCTAATTCCTGTTATTATTAGTTTATAGTTATTGACTTAGAATTAAGCCATCATACTCAACGAAGTCTACCATATGAGTATATCTTATTGGTATCTTGGAGGTGTCATGAATTTTACCTCTAACTCTTTCACTAAACTCTCGGGAGGTTTCTTCTGCGATAACGACGCCAAATATTTTCTTTCGTAAGCTTTTCTGGCCTGCCTACAGAGTGTATAAGATATTATATATGAATAGACTTGAGAATGTTATCAAACTTAAGATGTGTAAAAACGAAATAGCAGCTTTCTAAAATGTACTAGGGCTTTGATATATATATACATACCTATATTCGAAGATTCTGTTCCATGAATAAGTTGAACTTATCTGTAAATCTTCATTTGTAATGCAATTGTAAGCAAATTTCCACCTGTACTCCCATGAAAATAATATACACAAGGCAGTAATAAACGTAGTTAAAGTATAAATGTTATTTAGCAAGGCATAAAACATAACGTTTTCCATGTTTTTTACCATTTTGATGCGTTGCGGTGTAGTGGGTAATTTGGGCGGTATTTAGTGTATTTTCGTTTTTGCATTAAAAGCTCTTGTAGCTGTAGCCATTTCAATATACTTTCGTACTAATTTAAATAAGAGCCATCCAATATTTAATCTAGCATACTTTGCTGTTATAATATTACTTTCATACTGTTAACATACCTGCATCTTAGTAAGAGACACAACCACAGAATAGCAGTGCAATAAATTTGTTATCTACGTTTAGAAAAAGATTATTTTGACTAATTAATATGCATATAGGTATGTGATAAACTCTTCTACTTATTATTTTTGATATTTGTGTCAATGATAACAAATTTTAAGTTGTAATGAAAACAACCGGTAAAATTAAACATACTTTGGGTACGGTTTCATTCTTTTTTGGTTTAGAATTGATCTTCAGCTTTAAGTGAGCATTAATTGGGTGGATGACTTTATGTAATTATAAAAAACACTTCTTAATAAGAGATAGAAAACTTGTCCATATTTTCAGAAAAAATACAAAATAAAATACGAACTGTATTGAATTTCGCTAGCTAGACTTCCTGTTGGCATTATTCGGTTTTTCATCTCGCTCTAAGTAATTACACGATGTTACAAGCATATATATATTATTATTTAATACTCGTATGTTGATGTAGCAGCACATTTAAGGAATTATACAAATCTAACTTTGAGTGCTACATCAAAATAAATCACAATAGTGTATGCCTTTACCAGAAAAGACGATTCATTCAGTGATTGAAAAGACTTTGCATGTAAATCCCAATAAATGTCTAGATTATCCAATCGAACAAACTGTAAACAAGCACAATTGCAATTTTAGTCCTTCATCACGTAAGTAAATTTGTATAGACTGCCTTTCATATACAAATGATATCTAATCTGGGTGATCACCGGGTTATACAGTGTCATCGCACCATACCGAGATTTAATTACCTTGAATATGAATGGATTATCATCGTTCATAAAAGCAGGGTTCCAATTATCATTTGTTGTCTATTATGTGCGTACAGTATAATAAAATAGGTGTAATTATAAGATTCTGTTTTAAAACATAGATCATAGAGGTAAAATATATAATATAGACGATGATGGTTCTATCGTTTGATATCTTATTATTAAAATTTACCTCAGCAGAGAGATTTTCCAAAGTGATTCCAAAAGCAAGTGGAACATCTACGTCGCTAATCTATAATATAATAACGTATGAAGTGCGCATTAATCTTGGAAACAAATAAAAATTTTAATTTTACGGCCAGTAATAATAAATTTTCTTACATTATCTTCATATCTTATGTGTACAGAACGAATAAAGATCTGCGATAAAAAGTGTCGATAGTAAAGCATAAGAATTCAGTGTATAGTTTCTTAAATGGTAATAATTGCGTCATGCTAGCTTACGAAGAGCATACCTGTAAATTTTTGACAACTAAAGTACCCAACTTCTCAGCAAAGGACTCTTTATCATCAGATTCTATATTTAATTTAATTTAATAATATGTATTAGTACATTAGACCTTCAACATTATACGAATATATTAAGTTTAACGTTAGGACACAATAATTACAGCTAATAGTGAAAATATATCGCCAATAGACTTATCTAGTAGTTCTGCTTTAATTTTTGCCAAATATTGCAGGTAGAGTGGTTATAAATTGAATTAGGTAATATTGAAGGTAATTTGAATAGCATACTGTATACTCACTAGAAGTTTGACTTTTTTCTAGGTTTTCAAGTTGAGCAAGCTTTTCTTTACGCTTATTTTTTCGTTCTTGCTCGCTATCATATGCAAAATCTAAAAAAAGTATGTAGGAATTTATCTTGATAAAAAAATGGGTGTTGTATATAGAAATTTGGGTATTTTGAACAGCAAAGAAAATATCGTAATAGCTAGACTGCTGTATTCATTACCAGTTCTTGGCCCAGCGAGTATATAAAGACCATCAATAGTAGCCGTTGCAGCCTGAGAATATAAATTCTTCCACGGTACTTTCAGTACCAACTTATCTGTGAGAGCCATAAAGTAAATATCACGAGAGATTTTGCTTAATAATGTTAGTAAAGAATACAAGACGTAAACCCGAGTACGACTATACACAGCTAGATTAGTAAAAATTAGAATCCATTAGCTAATGACCATTATAAATAAATAATAAGTAGGTCATTTCTTATAGCGATATGTATAATACTATACTAGTAGAGAATGCAGTTAACTAAAATAAAGATCATTTTATAACCATAGGCGATGAAATCTTCAAATTTACGCTATCATAGAACTGAAAGAGGTATAATTAAATCTATCAAAACTTACGTAAGAATCCCTTGTGAACACGAATAGGCAAATTGAATTTATCCTATTTATTATAAGATATACGCGTACGTAAGTACGGTTACAGTAGAGATTAAAAATTTGACATACTGTATGTATATCGGCACCATATATCAGTATCAACTAAGTAGCAGAGCATAGTGGATATCACGCACTGTCTATTATACACAGAATTTAGGCCTAATCAGGCTATACAGTGATTGTTTTATTGTTGATAATTCATATAGCACCGTTATAAAGTTGCATGACAAGATTATAACATGATTGGCATCGAAGTTAATGATGAATTTAGTATTTAGAATGCAATCTAAATTAATTTTTCTATTTTAGGAAACGACTGTAAAAGTAAGATCAGTTTCTATTATTTCTGACCGCTAGAAGTGCTAATCACTGTGTTGCATCCGGTTATTCTGTATTTCGTAATAGCCATAATCATTTTAATTGATATAAATCACATAGTTTAATGCTGTAGTCAATCGTAAGATTTTGGTACATCGTACCAACTAAAAGCATTATTGTTCTGTTTCTTTTTTATGATAATCAAAACTATTTATGGTATTGTTTAGATTTCCTGCTGGGATAGCTTTTACCATGTAAAAGTGCATCAACGTACAGTAGATGATGCATACTTCAATAGTGTTGGTGTGCTGTGAAGTAATACGTAACTAAAGCTTGCCATCTAACAAATTACTTACAAGCGCTCCATCGCGTAATTGCAAGTTTTCCAATTCCACATCGCCTGCAAATAATTAATATATATGTTATTTACCTTAGCCATCTAGGTCATAGCACACTATTACGTGATTGTAAGAGGAAATAGTATTTTGTGCAGTAATGACTGATATTTGCTGAATTATTTTGAAAGTGAAATACGAAATACGAAAATAGTAAATCAGGAATAAATGGTTCAGACGTGATGGGATAGTAAGTGTGCCCCAAAATTGTGATATTATGAGAATACGTCGTATAACGCCTTAAAGAGTATTAATTGGGGATTCTCTTTTTAATTGAATTCATCCACTTATAAAACGTACGTTAAGCCTACTAGCGTAGAGTATTATTAGGCCGCTGTAGTGATATCAATGCTTGAGCATCTTTAATTTAAGATTACTACAAATAGAATTACGTCGGTAGGATTCAATACATTGGGGTAAAGCATTCTTTAGAACTAGTAAGAAAAATCATCAAGACTGTATGTACATGGTACACCTATGCCACGATTTATAATTATTGGTAAATACAGCCAGCATTCGTGAATTTATTCAGTGAAGAAATTGTACCGTTTACTAGCGCCCATGATGATAGTATGAAATAACATAGGAAAGTAATACCGATCGATTTAGTACTAAAGCTTGTCAATGGCTACTACTTTAAGAATAATCCTGTACAAAACGCCTAAGATATTCTATAAGGGTCCAAAAAAAAAAATTGGGGCTGCATCATCAAGAGAGTAATCTACAGTTGTATGCAGAATGCATGGCGTCGATAGATGCACAGCTATACTGCACACTACAACTACCTTTGACACCTACTGTACAGTATTTTGTATTTAAGAAAACCTCCACATCTATCCATATACAGCAAGTTGTTGACAAGATATTTCTTCCATTTTAGTCACATGCTGCTATTTTACATGTTAAGAAGAGCTACTGTTCTAGATCATTATCAACCTTGCAACGTACTACTTGCATTAATCAACTGGTATACAATAAGTAATATAAATATCTGCTTTAGTTGTCAATAAGGGCATTACCATCCTCAAATCAAATCAACTTTACAATATGGATTAAGTCTTTCATACAGTCTGTGATACGATACAATTCTATCAATAGTGGCTTTCATAAGAGTGAGGAAATTCTTGCAATGGAGATGACTGACGACATTCTTATTGCATTTTAACAATTTTTCACTCTTGTACAGCTATGATTTTCCCCATAGCGATCCATAACGGAAAGAAGAAATACTTTGGCCTATTTTGGGAGTGACTACTGTCTCTACAGAAGTAGTTTCTATTTTGGTGTTGACTAGCAATAGATGATTGACGGTAGACTTGAAGAATCAATCTAACCTCCCCAGATTCCTATATTGAGTTGAGATTTGTCTAAGTTGACCACAAATTCGCCCAAGTACTTGTTCAACAAGTTGGCAACGAGTGTTTCAAATACCATTGTTGGTCGTATAGAACCTATCAAGGATAAGAAGAGAAGTTTAATTCTAGGTACAAAGAAGGAAGTCCCTTGATTGCCGACATTTTGCACTATACTGTAGAGTATAGTATAGTCATCGCTACGCCAACTCGTTGTTGACAGACTACACACTGAGTGATATATGATTAATTCTACAAAGAGAGAAATGGATTGGATACAAGTCCATTTGCGACCACTGTATCTTCTACTGGTGCAAAATGATACCTATATCCTCGATTTTTACTCACTGTTTCCTTCGGGCGTTGACTGTGTCTACCATTAATTAATTAATGAACAAGGCGGCCGACAATTTTTCCCCACCAGTTTCACTGGATCAATATTCTCTTTCGTTCTACCTTGAACTTGTTTTGACTGCGCACAGTGTAGTAGAGTAGAGTAGAAATTCACTAAGGCAGTAAGTTCATTGTATCGTCACGGTTCAGTGTTTTAGTGCATCTGAAGCTATACAGTGTATTGACACCATGGAGTACGTGTTACAGTGACAGTGTAGCCACTGTAGCGTACAATAGTTATCCGTCGAGTTTGATACAAAACTCAGTCAGGTTCCCCGCCTTTCTGACGTACAGTATAGACTATAGTATACAGTTCTGTATAGTGTTCAATATGAACATCTTCATCATCGCTGAGCGTGATCATTTTTACTTTTCCGATATAAAATAGAAAATAGTCATCTTTAGTATAGCAACTCTGAAGAGGGAGCAAGAGCTCTCATTTTGGGTATTGCTGTACACAAAATACCTCGATTATGAAAGAATAGATATAGCGAGAGTAGCCACATCGGCGCTCATAAAATAGACTACTCCAGGCCGAGATTGATCTTCCATGGAAAACTGACGTCAGCCCGATTGGCATCTGTAACAGTATGACAGTGGCACGCATACAAAGTGACTATTGTACTGTATTTTAATGGCGGTCGAGCTTGGTGTAGGTGCTATAACTTGGACACACAAATCTGGTCGAAAGTCGATCATCACCTTGTATAATTCCAATCGTATTAAGTTATTCATTTATAGCATCATCCAAACTACAGCATTATTATCCACTATCCTAGTCAATAGATTGCATTTAATGACCGTCTTCATGACTTGAGCCTCAACGACTCATTGTTAATATACTGTATGTATTCATCATTCATCATCAATGGTGAATTGATAATAATGAAATTAATTGAATTACTGGCTGGTAGATCAGTAAATATGAAATTAAATGAATAAAGTCAAGACAAATTGCGTAATAACCATACTGATAGCCAATCAAAGATTCACCAGACCAGGGAGATCCTTAATTAGCCCATTCTGATCGAATGAACTTACTGCTGTATGCAAGAATAGACGAATTTAGAATCTTGACAAATAATTCAGCGTACTAATAATAGGATTAATTAATGAGTCGATCTTTCTATACCAAGTGTAAATCCATTTTGAATGAATAAATATTATGACTGCTACGGCTTGATACGTTGTCTACAGTAAGTACAATTAATTTGTGTTGCATCAGTATTATATTAGAATCAATTGATTATCCTTAGAATCCATACGGCCACCGCAATAGTATATGAGTGCATAGGATTTGCCTAAATAGGTATTATATTCTATAGTTTAATCTACAGGTGGATGATAGGGAAGGAATGGGCTTAAACAAAGTTTCAAGGTTGCAATGGATGCCTAGCTAATTAGGTCAATTACGATGCCAATCTGCTGCCGGGATACACTATCCGAGATCTCGACGAGTATGATCCATGCCGTATACTACTATACAATGCAGTAGTTGAGATGGCAAGCTAACATGAACAAAGTAAAATGATACAGTATTCTCTCTTCCGTAGTCCATGCTTGCCGGTGCTACTTTTATTTACTTCACAAGCAGATCATGATTGTACGCGTACAATTTTATTGACTTGTAAGATACCAACCTTGCTATAGACGTAGCTTAGGCTATTTTCGCATAGTGTATCTTAGTTAGGATAACCAGTTGAGGCGAATGAAAGAAAAGCGATGGCACGATTTCCCAGGTACAACATACTTTTACTTCTACTCTACAAGTAGATGATGATAGCGATGCATGCAGTAGTACATTTGAACTGGAAAGTAGTACCAAGCTTATGATACAGTATACTATACTTAATTTTAAGGCATTTTCGGAAAGTCTATCACACTTGGAATAATTAATAAGCGGAGGCGAATAAAAAGAAAGCGACAGCAAAGTGAACTGGGTATTGCTGGATATATTTTCTTTTTA